AAGTGATAGTTAAAGCCACAGACTGTTCCCTAAGATAGCTGTGTGTAAATGAGTTAAATAGATTTCAGTTTGTGACATGTTTTCATTTTCTGTCTCAGGAGGATCTGTCCAAAGAGACTCTGGTGAAGCAGTTCAAGATCGTGAAGAGTCACACCAACACCAGCCACGTGCAGCAGTTTGGGAACAAGGTGTGAAGACGGTGTCCTGATGATAGGAGTAACTGTACCTTCTGGTCATTGTTCCATCACATGTTCTCCCTCCTCTTGTCCACAGACCCTGGCCCACATGAAGGTTGTACAGTTCCAGGGCAACCACAAGGCCAACAGCCCTCCTGTCCCTCCCATGACCCTGAAGCCTATCGTGGACCCAGACCTGACCCCCAGTCCGGACGTTCCCCTGGCCATCTTGAAGAGGAAGCTGATGTATTCCAATGACATCACAGAAGCCAGGCGACTGTTGAAGGAGATCAACGCTCACCTCCAGGTACGGAGTGACAGAGATGACTGACAGCTGAAGATAATGGATCAGATCATCACAGAACATGGACCAGAACACCGTGGAGTTACACTGTGCTCACTGTGTTTGTGCATTTGTGTGTATGGCTGTGTTACGTGTGTGTGTGTGTGTGTGTGCAGACCAGGGAGATGATGGCTAACACCATGCGTGCAGTCCTGGAGAAGGTGACAGGCAGTAAACTGAAGGCTGATGAGATTTTCAACCAGAGAAGTGAACTGTCTCAGCATCGTTGCTACAAGGCTGCAGTCAGTCACTACAAACACACCTGCTTCAACTGGCACAAGACGGAGGTGAGAGACAGCTGACGGCAACACCGTGTGATCTCTGTCATCAGTGTGCACTCTCAAAAGTCAAATAATCTTCCCTGTTTGATGGAAATAAATACATATATAACTATGAAATATACTCACTAAAAAGTGAGGCCATAAATTTCCTAAAAAAGGAGTACTTGCTCTTTGATAAAGCCACATTTAAACTTTTTGTTTATATTTATGTGGGACAAGAACAAAATTACACATCACTAATTCATTGGTGGCAGTGTAGTGGTTAAGGAAGTGGACTTGAGTCCAGAAGGCTTCAGGTTCAAATCCACACACTGCTCAAAGCTGTGTGCTGTGTCACAACGACAAGGAGTTCACTTTCCTTTCCTTTCAAGACGGCACAGGTCTGACGATGACAAAAACCTCTGTAAATCACATGGGGACACAACATTGGTTTATTAGTCACTGTCTTTTCTGCTGACCAAATTAATAGCTACACGTCAGACCAGTCTGTTTTCTGCTGGTGAAGTACTTTCACTTCCTCTTTTAATTATGGTAAAAGGAGGAAATCAGGTTTCACAGATATTTAAAATGTCTTTACAATATTGAATTACATTTTTCTGAACACATTTAAAATATATATATATAATATACTGTATATATTTTTCTATATTGTAATACATTATTTTATGACATTTACAAGGAGTTTCCTTTACACAGACACAATAGTGAAACTGTCACAGTCCTGACTCTTCACAAGAAGAGGAAGTTAACATTTTAATTAACTTGTGGTGTTTTATTTTTTACTCTTCACATCTCTTTTATACGGTTCTTAATTATGCACTGTGTACTTCCATGAAGAATTCCCCACATACTATACGTAGCTCTTCCAGGCAGATACTTAAAAGGTTTCATTGTGTGAGGCTCAAATCACAGACACTTTTTTTTTTGACAAATGGTGCCCCCTTGTGTTGTGTTTCAGTACGAGTACGCGCTGAGACATCTGTACGCTCTGGTGAACTTGTGTGAGAGAGGATATCCTGCTGTCAGGTACGGTCCACAACTGAGGTCAACAACGTCCCTTGTTGAATGTTGAAATTTAACTATTGTGAAATATTTAGAGGAACAGTCAAAGTTGTTGAGAATGTTGAAATAGTCTTTGTTGTGTTATTTGCTTCGCATATATAACCCCTCCTCCTATTTTGAGTTCTACGTCTATTAGTTTTAAACATTAATTCCGCTATAATAAGTAGTTATGAGCCAAATATTTCTATAAAGTAAAACTGAGATACTATTTGTTTTACTCCCTTTACAAGTGCTAAAATTGGTGTTTTTGTGGGGTAATATCTGCCCTCAGAGATTAAATACTCGTATAATACTTGTTGAAGGAACTTGAACGTTAAGTGCTTTGTTGTCTTTTTCTCTACAGTATCCAGCAGGCCATGGACATTGTGTGTGTCACAGAGTAGAAGAATCTTCCACAGATCTTTGAAGTATCAGATCAGGAACCCTCTGTGCTTCTGTTTGCACTGTTTATCAATTAGTGACAACACTGTTGTTGATATGGTTTTACAAAGAAGCAACAACTAATGTGATGTTTTTATTGTTGATTTTACTGATGAACTGTTTTAAATCATTTTATTTTGTGTTGCACTTTCACTGCTGACAGTTTTCTGTTTGATAAAAATGACATGTCCTCTATGTAAATGTGTTTGATTTTTTTAGATGATACACTCGTCAGAACACTGACTATTAAACTGTTAGATATTTTTGTAAAATGAATCTTAAAATAAAAAAAAAACAACTGACAGAAAAATGAATGAATCAGAATTTAAAATTGTATTTTCACCATAGCTTTTTTTGGATGCCTTATCCACAGAATAAAACCACTAACTGATTATAAGGAAATAAATGCAATAATACCGTAAATAATGTAGTGTCGCCACCTATTGACCAAATGCTTTTTATATTAACAATTTGGCTAATTTTGTTTTAGCTGATTTTAGTTAGATTTTTGTCTCACGTGAACTATGATTATAATTTTATTCTACACTGCCTGGCCAAAAAAAGGGTCATACACTCTAATATTTCGTTGGACCGCCTTTAGCTTTGATTACAGCACGCATTCGCTGTGGCATTGTTTCGATAAGCTTCTGCAATGTCACAAGATTTATTTCCATCCAGTGTTGCATTAATTTTTCACCAAGATCTTGCATTGATGATGGTAGAGTCTGACCGCTGCGCAAAGCCTTCTCCAGCACATCCCAAAGATTCTCAATGGGGTTAAGGTCTGGACTCTGTGGTGGCCAATCCATGTGTGAAAATGATGTCTCATGCTCCCTGAACCAGTCTTTCACAATTTGAGCCCGATGAATCCTGGCATTGTCATCTTGGAATATGCCCGTGCCATCAGGGAAGAAAAAATCCATTGATGGAATAACCTGGTCATTCAGTATATTCAGGTAGTCAGCTGACCTCATTCTTTGAGCACATACTGTTGCTGAACCTAGACCTGACCAACTGCAGCAACCCCAGATCATAACACTGCCCCATAGGCTTGTGATAGATAGATAGATAGAAGATAAATAGATAGATAGATAGATAGATAGATAGATAGATAGATAGATAGATAGATAGATAGATAGATAGATAG